ATTCTTGTTAAGTTCTCCTTTGTCAATGATTCCACTAAATTTATTTCCATTTGCAAATTTAATTTCTCCATAGAAATCACCTATAATTGCATAAGTGACAAATTTAAATTTTAGCTAATTTATTTCGTGCACACATATTTATAGTGTAACGTTACACCCTCCCGCTGAATTTTATACACTGCTTGATAGCATAGATAAAAATCCTATCATTGGCTATTATTGTATCATAAAAAATCAAGCGAAATTAACCAATAAAAATCATGCATGCAACATTTCAATTTTTTATTAAATTTATTTTTGAAATAAATAATCGTTTATTTTTATTATTTAAAGATTTCTTCTAAAAATTTTTTCTTTCTTCAGGACTGATTAGATTGACAAGAGGATTAATTTGACAGCTTATTTTCATCAAAATCTAATTATATTGATATACTTAACAAATCATATAATATAGAATTTATATAATATATAATATATAATGACATTGAATTACCTGTAAGCATTCTATCTAATCTTTGGTTTAACTCTTCATAAGCAGGGATTTCATCAATATTATTTGTTTCTTCTTCCAATAAATCATCTTTAGGTGGTTCAAATTCATTTTGAGTATCATTATCCATTTCTAATCGTTTATTATATGACTTGGACAATTCATCAATTGAAGCTGAGAGATAACTATGACAATGAATACAAATGCAATCAGATTTATTCCAGCAATCATCATGATAAGCATGACCACATAATTTAACACTTCCACTAATCATAGAAGGATTTTTGCATTCATTTGCATCACAGAAATGGTTAGGTTTTGGGGGTTGTTTTAAATGATATCCTATTGGAAGTGCACCTTCAGGAAATCCTTTAGCAATTCCTGGGAAATACCAGTATGGCTTTTTAATTTTTCTTCCTTCCTTCTTCACCTCAAATTTACCAGAATTTTTTGAAAAATTGTCAAAAAGTTAACAAAAATATTGCACCACTTTTTACCATTATATCAATATTCTGTTTAGAGTATGGATATGTCTTTTTGACTCTAAAGGTTTGTGTGAAGTCATTATCATCAGGAAAATGGGTACAAATATTATGCATATATAATACACAATTGCAGGGATTAAGCATATAATATATGTACAA